TAATGGACCGTTTTCTCGTCTTTTTTTTTTGGGGGGGGGGGGGGGGGGGGGGGGGGGGACCTCTTTTGCACATGGTGCTCGTTTCATATTTGTATAGACGAGTCGGCATTCAGTCAGTCTTCCATATCCTACAGGACGCCTTTACTTCTGGGGGCAGTTAATGATACCGATTTGAGCGTGGCTTGAACTGAGAGGCCATGTTAGTTTTTTGAAAATTCAGCTTCGATTAGGATACGAACATAGGACCACTAGGTCGGGGGGCTGTTGTGTTACCACTGAGCTTCCGCTGCCATTGTTGTGGTGGGTATACATCTAACTAATCTGGATTGCTTGGCTCGCTAAAGCAGTTGGTTAAAACCCTCCGCGGGGCCACCCGGTGACGAACTCCAGGTGGTCCGGGTTCACGCCTGGGGGTGGGCAGAAAAGCCACATTTTCTACCAGATTTACGGTATCTATCACGGAATCATGGCCAAAGGTTGTGATATCCATAGTACCGAGCCAAAGGGTTTACCATTCATGGTTTCTGGATACTAAAAAAAAAAAAACTAATCTGGATTGACTAGAGGTCATGACCAACAGGCACGTGAGTTCACTGATACACAAACACACACACACACAGAGAATAAAAGAAACTGTGATGGGCGGGGAGGCGGGAAGATTAGGCTGGGAACTTGTAAATACAAGAACTGATGTGAGATGCAATGCTACTAAAGTGCTTCTACTTTCTTCTGTCATCTTCTACAACCCCGTACGGTGGATGCAAGTCTTAGAAATGCCATCCGTAATAGCTTGGCGTTGATCGATCAAAGGTTCAAATTGTACTTTGACTTTGCTGCTTATGCAGCCCGCTGTCAGGTGTCGCTTCTCTGTATGATAGCAAGACACGGTCCTGATCTACTGCATTGTCTGTCGACACAAGGCTGATGTCTGAGAGGAAAAGTAGGTTAGAATTCTGAATTCTGAGTTAAATGTGTTGTTTAAAGTGCAAAATAACCTTGACAATATTTATTGACGAGATCCCGGGTCTTGCTCTATCGTTAAAGCTTGCCCACAGTTCGGGGCACACAGGCGGATGACTATTCTCCGTTCTTAAAAATGACTAGAACGCTTTGTCGTCTTACAACAAATACATTGTTGCGAAGGTCAAGTCATTCTTTATTCTAGCGAGCCCAGAAGTTTCAATAAATAATTTGACTGCAAGGTAGTTAGCAGACTTCCTGAGGATGCAAGCACTGAAGTCTGCTGGGAATAAACAGGGGCATTTGGAATGAATCTTGTGTAGAAGTCCATGGTAAGAAAGAACGGTAACATAAAGTGAAGAATTGACAGGTTTAAAACGGCAGACAGACAATAGCAAAACTAGAGCTGATAAAGCTAAGGCTCAAGAAAAATACACAGAAGCTAATAAGGAAGTTAGGGGGCGAATAAGGGCAGATAAAAAGAAATATTTTGATGAACTAGCACAAGAAGCGGAAACGGCAGCAGCAAAAAGAAACCTCAGAAACCTTTACAGTGAGACAACTAAATTACTAGGTAAACATAGTCAGCCGACTGGATAAATAAACAATAATCAAGGGAGGCTACTCACTAAAACTAAAGATCGAATGGACAGATGGGCCGACAATTTTGAAATACTTCTGAACAGACCAGCCCCAGAGTCCCCCAGACATCCAGCCTTTAGAAACTGAACTGGGTGTCAACTGTGAGGTACCACATCTAAAGAGGAAATTAGGAAAGCTATTAATCTTGTGAAGAAAGGAAAGGAGGCAGGTCCAGTTGGAATCCCAGCAGAAGTTGTTGAGGCCAATATAAACCTGTTAACGACATTGCTATATAGATTATTTAGTAATGTATAGGAGACCGAAAAAACAAAAACAAATCTTAATAGACAGGAGAGAGGGATATCTTGTGAAAATGAGGGATATCTTGTGATCTGCGGAGGTATGAAAACTACAGAAGAATTATGTTGCTGTTCCTGGAAAAATATTAGGTAGGATTGTTTTTGGAAAGACTAAAAGATGCTATTGATAAAAGGCTAAGGGATAAACAGACAGACAGTTTCTGTAGTGACCAGATAGCCACATTAAGCATAATAATTGAGCACAGCATTGAACTGAAATCATCACTTGACATTAGATTCATATTTGATGAAAAAGCTCTTGAAGCACTGATAAGGAATGTCTCTGGAAATTGAAATGGCACTATGGGATCCACATAGAGTTATTAACTTAGCAAAGGTAACATAAACATATTTTAAATGTCGAGTTATTTATGAACGAAAGCTAACAGATAGATTTGAAATAAGAGTTGTTTTGCGACAGGGTTGTCTTTTGTCGCGTCTACTTAATTTTTTTTTTTTTTTTACTGGCAATTGATTGGATTATGAAGACAGCAACTGCTAACACCAAGAATGGAATTCAGTGGACCCTACAAAACAGCTTGATGATCTGGACTTCGCATGTGATATTTCTCTTTTGTCCCATTCACGGAACCTGCAAGATACACGAAAAATACTTGATGCGAGATCACAGCAGCTATGTCTGAAAATCCATAAGGGAAAGACAACGATAATGAGAAAAAACCAGGCAAGATAAAAATGTGGTTTCTCTTAATGTTATCCAACTCCAAGCCGTGGTGTCGTGCATCTATTTAGGCAGTAATGTAGATACCGAATCGAATACTGATATTGATATTAAAATACGAATACAAAGACAAGAGGAGCTTTCATAAGACTATAAAATGTGTCGAGGTCAAAAGAAATTAAAACTTATATTAAACTTAAATTGTTTAATTCTAATGTCAAACCAGTATTGCTGTATTGAGCGGAAACATGGAGAATAACTAAACAGTTACTTATGAACTACAAACATTCGGTGATTGGTGCATGCGCAGAATAGGGGGAATTAAATGTTATGATAGAATCACCAACGTGGAGCTTTGGGAAAAAACTAAACAAGTGGACCAAGAGGTGAAGAAAGGACGCTGTCATTGGGCAAGACACACGTTGAGAAAACCTGGGAGCAATATAATTAGAATGTCTTTGCACTGGAACCAACAAGGACATAGAAATAAAGGCAGACCAAACACACCCCCCCCCCACACGAAGAGGGAGATAGAGGGTGAAATTAAAAAGATGGAGAGGACACAGGGTGAGCTGCATGCGATATCGAACGACCTGTGATATCTTGACGGTATAGTTTTGTTCGCTGAAAATGAAATACAGATGCAAAAAATATGGGCACACTGATAACAGATAGTCAAAACATGGATCTCAACTTAAACAGCAGGGGGGGGGGGGGGGGGGGGGGGGGGAGAACAGAAGTAATGGTAACTACCCAAAAAAATGGACCTTTCAAAACGCGACATCAGCGTTAAAGGGAAAATTTTCAAGCAAATTGATACGTTGAGTTCTCTGATACCCAGCTAACATCAGATGGAAGATTTGCCATCTTTAAGTTGGTCTTATAATAAATGCAGATCGGAAGGTCGTGGGTTCGGGTCCTGATAGAGCCGGACTTTTGTTTTTTAAATGACTTTGGCTCCTAGCATTGAGCGTGGATCAGATTCTGGAAAGTAAAGATGGCCGACGTGATGCTGACCACATCACGCGCTGATTGGTCTATATAGTCTAGCCATGTTTGCCCAATATGCCTGAAGGCGTGGGAAAAGGGTCCTTCACTCTTGTCATTGCATTGTGGCAATTGAAAGACGGTGCTTACCCCGAAAAGGCAGGTTAAACATCCTTAAATGCAGGTTTCAACTTCCCCAGTCTATTCACACAGTCTTATCGGATGTTAAACGCGATTATGATTATGCCATCGCCGAATAAACGCCATCATCATCATCATCGTCATCATCATGTGTCCAACCAAACCTGTGGTCCAGGTTTTACAGCTTTAGTATTATATCTTGAAATGCAAAGAAATATTTTTAATTTTAGTGTCAATTTTGTAACTTAAATAAACTATATAGATTAATACAAATAGTATTGGAAATAACATAAATAATATAGTAATATGTAAAACAAGAAGTAGGCAGAGAGAGAGAGAGAGAGAGAGAGAGAGAGAGAGAGAGAGAGAGAGAGAGAGAGAGAGAGAGAGAGAGAGAGAGAGAGAGAGAGAGATTTTTGGTTAATTGTTTGGTTGACCTAGCGTGTCCATCCTGGCATATCAGTGGTGGAGACCAGAGCTGCCGAATTTTTTTTAGGGATAGTAACAATTTTGGTTTTTTGAAAAGGCACTAAACTACCAGTAAGCCCGTAGTTGCATATTGCGTACACGCCTTTCCTGCTGTTGTATTTACTAACGACGAACACTGAAGAATACTTTTCAAATGTGAGCGACTTTAATGGTACTTTTATTTCGCAAACAGTTGATACCTTTCTTTTTTTCTCATGAGTATTATCTTTATCATTATCACCACTATGTGTTAACCATCACTATCAGCCAACATTCATATTTTTAATTCTCCCTCATATTAAAAATGTAAACTACAACAGGAATTTAGTAAAAGACAACAACAATTAATTATAAATTTAACAAAAATGTCACAAGACACTTCAAAATAAAACGGAATAAAAAATAATGAGCATCAAATAAATTGGAATTTTAACTGCGTCTAAAGACATGAAAGAGCCATCTGCCAGTTGTCAGGACGGACACTCTCACACTGACCTTTGACACTGAAACAAAAGCACACTTGACTAATCACGTCAAATGGTACATTGGAATCAACCATTGCATAACGCTTATTTTCAGTACTCTTGGTTAAAAGGTTGAACACAATGACTAGATTTAAAGTATTGATGCCAAATTTCTAAAACATATCAAAACATCAAAAGTACAGTTTTGCGCTGCGAGGGTTAAAAAGTACAAAATATGTACTAAAGTGCCAACTTCGGCATCCCTGATAGAGCTGAAGAGGTTTTTAGAGAAAGCAATATGGTCGCCTGAGGTCTCGTCTGTACACACTTATTACTGTCTGATTTGTCTAGATCAACATGGACGCAGCTGACCTGAACTTTGAAGAGACGGATCACTGTGAATTCGATCCAAGTGATAAACTAGAGAATGACGAAAGTTCAAAACCAGCAGAAAAGGAACAGAAGAACCATAACAGTACAAATGACAACAGTGGTGGTGAGTCGTCGCTCTGACTGACACGGTTGTTTTTTTTTTTTAATGTTTTACCTGAAGTCAAGAAAGGTTTCAGTTTCGTTATATTATAATGATAGATACCATTTAATTTAACTTCTAAAGTAAAAATATGTTCTCCGATCATATGTATGTTGATTAATTAGTAGTAATTCTTTTTCAGTTGATATTTGTATCAAATCAAACTGAAACTTGTACATACAGGAGCAGTTAATGATACTGTGTACACGGTGACGACCGACAGTTCTTAACTAAGTTCAGTACCGGACGAGTACATACAAGTTTGTTTTTTAAAACTCGACATACTGACTGAGTCGACATGAATTATCTTGTGCAGTTCCGTCCCACCACACGGAGCTGGACTGTCACTCCTATGAATCTCCTGCGAGTTATTTTGGCTCTCCTTCGAACTTCTACCCATATTATGGCTGCCAAACAAATACCCTAACAGGGCCTCAGTCCTATGCAAAATGCGGAGTTCCTGTCAAGGAAAACAAATCGCTGCAAAACTAGGATCGGCTCTGAATAACGAAACAAATGCTCTAACAGGGTCTCAGCTATATTTTAATTGCGGACCTGTTCCTGCGACTATGCCGCATCGCCCACAGTATCCCCTGCGCTGCTACATGCGGCGCAGATGGGGGGGGGGGGGGGCGCTAAACTAGATGGCTGGGACTCACGAGCAGTGTAACAGAGTGGGTCATCGCTTGTTTGTTAGTAGGCACAAAGCTAGGATATAAGGAATTCAACAAGTTTTGGCAGCCTTGACATTCTTTTCTAGAAACTTCGTTTGTTATTAATGGAGAAATGTTTTGCAAATGAATAATCTATAAATAGTATTTGACGTCATTGTCTGGCCTTGGCCTTCTTTCTAGAAGTTTTGAAATGCATTCTTTGCATCATGAGACCCAACCTTGTCTTACTAGTAAATACCTTGTTGTCGTGCCCTATCATAGCAAACGTAATTGTACTTGTTTTCTAGAAGGACAGCTGTCAATTTAACTACTATATCTGCGCAGAAAAAGATGATGAAATCTGATGCAATCGAGATATAATTAGCAAATCCCTTGTGAGAACGTACATAGTAAACAAGTTGAGACGTACTAGAATATTCTAGAAGCAGAAAAAGTGAGAAGAAAACAAATAACTAGCATTCTAGCATCCAAGTATAAATAACGAGTAACAAAGCACCTTAGCAATTCTTCAGGCCGCAAGACTGAAGAGAGGAGAGACCAGTCACGTTGACTCTCAAAGCAGCCTTTATGTGTAGAGATGTCAGCTTAACTCAAAGAATGCCTTCAGTCGTTGAGACTCAGAGGACGAGCGACTAGTCTCAATGATCCTCGATGCCAGCTCAACACTGGAAGGAGAGCAGCCGGTCGTATGGAGCGTCGAAGACAGTCACTAGAGAGCAGACATGAAACGAGACATCGAACCACAGAGACAACACACCAGATACCTAGATCCATGGTTAACAGAGAAATATTAGGAACACTATAGAGATGTTAGAGTCGACGATCAAGCGGTTAGTAGCAAACAGCACTAGAAGCCAGGTGGCAGTTAGAGACACTAGAATCTAAGTAACTAGAGATGAAGAACACAACGCGACCTCAACAGTACGTAACCATAGAGAGAACACAGCGCTATTCAGAATATCGTTGATGTATTTGTGACATTGTTGAAGTATCACAATAAAGACAGTATAGACAAGAACAGTTGTTTCCAGCCATTTTGTTATACAAGCATCAGTCACGTGAGAAGCATGCAGCTAGCAAGACATCATCATCATCACCACTACTATCGACACGACCATCTTTCTCCTAGACGAACCTGGGTGTGAAATCAACGTATACAATGAAGAAGAGAGCTGTGCTACAGCAGCAGCTACTGCATCTCCTGCAACTTCCTCCAATTTATTTGCTCGTGAGTCCCAGGCGTCTAGTTTAGATCCCCATCCGCGCCGCACGTAGCGGGGGATACGCTCGGCGGTGAGTTTAATCGGAAGAACACTATCGCTACCTGCCATCTCCATATTATCTGTAATGTTGCGTGTCACGAAATTGTCAATGGTTGCTAGTATCGTCTGCAGAAATGCTCGAAATTGTCAATGGTCGCTACTATCGTCTGCAGTATTGCGTGTCGTGAAATTGTCAAGTAATCCTAGTTTTGCCATGATGTGTTCGTCGGAGGAAGTTCGCATTTTACACACGACTGAGGCCCTGTTATGGTATTTCTTTGGCCGCCAAAAAAATGGGGTAGAAGTTCGAAGGAGAGCCGTTATTTTTTTTCTTTGTTGTTGTTGTTGTTATCGATCCAGCGGCGCATGAGCTTTCGCCCTTTGGCCCAATGCCATGTAGTGAAATTTGCATGTTTTCACAAGCTGTTCTTTTCCTCCGTACAAGGTGTTCCACCTGTCTGGTCTCGGAGGGAGTAGCGTTCTTCTTGTCTCACTGAGCTTTGGGCACTCAAAGAGATGGTGTTCAACAGTTTCGTAGGGGTAGTTACATAGCTGGCACTCTAGGGAGTGTTGTGGCTGTATTCTGTTTAGGTGTCCATTGAGTGAAGTATGTTGCGTTCTAAGTCTGAAGATGGTGGCCTGGTCCCTTGTTAGATGGTTAATGCTGTCATTAGGATCAGGGCCAGACATATGTCTATAAACCTCTCTTCCAGTGTCTCCCATGGCCCATCTGTTCAACCAGGTCTCTTTGTTTATAGCTCTTATCAGTGTTTTTGCTGTCTGGAGGGTTGTCGCTGTAGGTGGTTGTTCTTGTGTTGCTCCTTTGCCCTGCGGCAGGTCTTACTCTACATTAGGGACACACTGCAGACTTCACAGGTTAGTAATTGCCATTCTTTGCCAATCTGTCAGCTCTGTCATTACCTGGTGTGCCGGAGTGACCTGGAATCCACTGCATCACTATTCTGATGTTGTATGAGGTAATAAGCTGATCAGCATCCAGGATTATCTTGGCTATGTCAGTTCTGCAGCGTTCACTGCCCTCCAGAGCTTGAAGGGCAGACATTGAATCTGTGAAGATGACAATATTTTGGACCTTTGAAGGGTAAACATCCATTACAGTCTTTAGGTGGTATACTGCTGTTTCCAGTGCAATTATTTCAGCTTCATAGTTTGAACAGAATTCTCCGCATGCATCAAAAATCTCTTCAACAGATCCATCGGGATAACCTATGTAGATTCCGTAACCTGCTTTAATGGTAGCTTTAAATGCTGATCCATCAGTATAGACATGTATCCATTCTTGGGGGTAAGAATCAACGGTCTTTAGTGATGAGTTCATAAGAGCGATTGGGTCGGACTGTTTGGTTTCCTCGCCTACCAATTTTAGTTCGGACTTCTGGAGCTTTAAAGCGAGCATGTGGTGGTAGGTTTCTTGCAACATTCTGAATTCCTTGACGTCTTTCTGGGAGGTGGTATCTGGCCTGAATTTCATTAACACAGTGTAAAACCGATTTGTGCTTTATTCTTTGTTTGGATTCCCAGTTTTCTATAGATGTACTGCTGTAATAATAGGGTGTAGAGTCTCAAGGGTAGGGCAAGTTTAGGAGTACCCTAACCCTCAGAGTTTCCTTTTGACAGCAGTGCATCTATCGCCAACACACAGTAATAACGTCACCGGTTCACGCTGTCTATCGCCAACACACAGTAATTACGTCATTTGTGTCATTTGCTCTTTTCCACTCCGTAATTGCAATGCGACCAGGGGACTGAACTCTGGCGTGCTCCATAATAAGCGGCCGTAGTTTTAAGGAGAACCGACAAGTCCATAAGCACCCGTATCCCATCTTCAGTATATCCCCCAGCGTGTGGCGACTGATAACACCAGTTCTCTGTTGATTTACTATTTTTCTTTGGCTACCTGTAGAGTGTTCATGTTTGGCGACACCTTTTTTTGCCTGAAGTTCTTGTAGTCTTTTGAGTATTGCCGATTCAGTGTCGTCTCTTGAATCATTTTCTTGTTCTGCCTCCTTGAAAATGTCGGCTCAGCCTATTGCTTTTCATGTACCTACCGTGACCCTGCCAATAAGCCAGTCCGCTCATTCATTCACTCTTAGCCCTGAGTGTCCTTGCACAAAAAATGAAACAAATTCCTGTCAGACAATATTTCCTCAGCAACTCCAAACATTTTCTAGGGGTGTTATGGGTTAAGGTTAGTCAATATATGTCTCTCAGGCAGTTGGGGCTAGCAAAAATCCTAACCTTAACCCCCAACCCGTAACACCCCTAGAATACTGGAATTTCCCTGGATTTCGGGGATTTAATTTGTTTGGGGTGAATTAAAAATAAAGTACCACTGTTAGTTTTAGGATATCTTGACATCTTTCATTGAGTGCCAGTGAGTTGGTCAATACAAATCATTCAGATAATAATTATAACTATGACATGGGGCTGACACTAGGCCATTGACTCAGTATTTTTCTTGTGCTTTTATCTTTGCATGTCCACACATGGCTGTAATAATACATGTACACACGTGCAGTAATTATACATGTACATACATGCAGTAGTTATACCTGTACATGCATACGTCTATGGCTTAGGCATTGGGAAAACTTTTTTTTTTTTGTAGTGCCAGGTTTGATCCCAGCTGCAGGAATTTGGCAGCAAACCGTCTTGCGTTGGTTTCGACAATGATATTGAAAATCGACCGTTCAGAAAGCAATGGCAAACTGCTGAATGTAAAAAAATTTGTGTGGGAAAACGACAACAGCAACAAAAATGCTGCAAACATTAATTCAAAGGCAACCCAAAAAACGAAAAAATTAAAGAAAAATAGACTGTAAGGTCACTATGTAGAATTGTTAGGAGGAAAATCTACCTGTGGATAGAAAATCTGTTAGTTTGGATGGAATCTACCTGGAGAAAGCCAACCTGCCCCAAGTGCAGAGTGACACACTCAGCTCTGAGTTGTTCACAGTCATGTAGGGTTCACTACCATGGCACAGAGGATGATGACAAGTCAATTTCAGGAAACGTATTTTAAAAACAGTCTTTCTTTTCCTTCTTGTATCTGATCTAGTTGAATTATTTGTTTTGTTTCAGATGGCGAAGATGGAACATTAGAGTGCCCCGTGTGCCTTCAGTCTTGCATCTATCCAGTTCAGTTGCCTTGTCGTCACATCTTTTGTTTCCTTTGTGTCAAAGGAGTTGCCAGTCGGAGCAAGCGGTGTGCACTGTGTAGGCAGCAAATCCCGCCAGATTTTTTTTGTCGACCGAATCTGGTGCGACGTGACGACTTGGAGCAGCCTGTGACTTTTGATGATGGCTACAGCTGGTTTTATGAAGGGGTCAACGGCTGGTGGCAGTATGATGATCGTACCTCCAGGGAGCTGGAGACTCACCACAAGGCTGGACATTCCTCGTGCGAGCTTCTCATCGCAGGCTACGTCTACATCATTGACCTCACCAACATGGTCCAGTCGCGTAGGAATGACCGCACCAAGAAGCGAAGGGTCAAGCGTGACCTGCTGAATCTTACAGGCCGAAAAGGTGTTGCAGGTTTGAAAATATCTTCAGAATCTGTCATGTCGGATTCTGATCGTCCTGGAGCAGACGGTCATGAAAATACCACAGGGCAGAGCACATCTGTTCGTCAGTCAATTCCTATCCAACAAGCCGATCGATCAGGTGACCATCAGTCACTGTCACCGCCTACACCTCACAACACTCCTCAAACTCCAATGACCCCGTCAGAAAGTCCTCCAAGCTCTGCAACTACAGAACGTGATCTGTCCGCTCACCTGGAGCGCTTACGACTCGTGGACAGTACCTCGATTTCTCTCAGCCCTCTGACAGGATCAAACAGCTCCAGCAGGGGCTACGACACACCTGAGCAGCTGAGCACATCCATGGAGGACGCCACTCGATTGGAAAATGTGCGGGCCAGTCTTCAGCAGCTGCAGTCTCAGACCGTTTCTAGGACTCGGCAGAGAGGTCCGGATGAAACCGATGATTGTGAGACCAGCATTGTGGAGGTGTGATCACGAGGGAGCCAGGATAATGAAGAACTCATTACCTCTAACAGTTGTAGGACCAAGCTTAACAGCAGATGTGTGTTATCTCTTGGGAGCTCGTTTATGGGTTTAGTATGTGACATGTTACATACCTGATCACTTCTCAGCATTTTCTGCTATCACTATAGCAGTTTGTGTGTGTGTGTGGTCATCTTGACAACTGAGAAGGCATCAGTTACAGATTTCTCAACATGAGTAGAACTTAACTTCTTCAGCAAATGTTTGTTACTTGTCATTGATAGAGATGTGCTCATTGGGGTATGAGTCTTTTTTTTTTTTTTTTTTTTTTGCTGCATGTATTTGACATACCCTTTACCTAATCCAATAATTCCAGCATTAATTCTTCTGAAACTGTCTGGAGCATACCAGACACATAAACAAACATATGCAATGAGCATTCTTGTACTGTAGTACGTAGAAGTGTAATATTTTCTCTTCACTTAGTCTACCATTTTACAAAACTTGCCATGTACAGCGGGACGTTGACTTGCAAACTTAATTTCTTCCTGACTGGTTCGTATCTGGAAACCCAGTGTCCCATTACATCTGACTGGAAATCAGTTAATGCATTCACCGAAGCTTTGCCTGGTTACTCAAGCTCTGCCGTTGCTGTTCTACACAAAGTTGAGTTTGTGTCTGTTAACTTTTTGTTGTTTAAAGACTGGGATCTTCAGAGTGATATACCAACAGAAGTGTTAGCTTCACATCACCTCTGGTATTGGCACACAAGAGTCAAGTTTGTCTCTCATCAGCTTGTGTTCTGTCAGTGCCATGTCCTCCTTATTGATGAACATTCCTTTAGGCATTTTATTCCAGAAAAGCCCAGTTTCATGGCAGTTGAAAACTTGTTCAGGTCTGTAACTCTCTGCTCCACCAGTTTCTGAAATTCCTTCATGAACTTTTCAGCGGCTTTTTTGTCAGTGCTAGCCTGTTCTCCAGTCTAACAACACTGTGCATACTTGTTCTATTCTTGAATCTCTCAGACTATCTTTTTCTAGCTTTAAACTTTTCAGCAGTGTCTTTGCTAAGTAGTGGATGGCAAAGTTCTGCGATAGATCTTTGTAAATAACTTTTAAACAGATCATATTTTGAAATATACAATATCTGCTTTCAGTGGAATGTCATTGATCCAGATGAGTAGTAAAGCTTTCCTTTCTTCCAAAACTTTTTTCTTTGAGATAATGTGATAGCTACTCCTTTGGCCACAAGCAGTTCTAATGTGATAGCTACTCCTTTGGCCACAACCAATTCTAACGTGGTAGCTACTCCTTTGGCCACAAGCAGTTCTAATGTGATAGCTACTCCTTTGGCCACAAGCAGTTCTAATGTGATAGCTACTCCTTTGGCCACAAGCAGTTCTAATGTGATAGCTACTCCTTTGGCCACAACCAATTCTAATGTGATAGCTACTCCTTTGGCCACAACCAGTTATATAAAACAATCTTGAGAACTGTAGCTATGGTGGCATTGGACAAGTTATACTGCTTGCGCAAATCAGTTCTCATATTTTCCCACAGTCTGTTCCTTAATTTCTGTTGCGATAGTCCTTTTCTCTTCTCTCTGAGTTTTCTGTGGCCCAAAGTTGGAAATAATTCACCATATCTAAGTAATAATTGGAATGGTTTGTTCATAACACCTCATGCAAGTGTAGAAACTAACTGTATTGTTTGATTTTACAATTACCAAAGTAGATAACACACACACACACACACACAAAGCAAATATGTGCACGCAGCAGTACCTCACACACCACTTATTGCTTCATATTCCTGATAAATTCCAGTGTAGTAACAAAAAACATGCACAGTGCATCATGGTTCGTATCTCGAATTTAGGAATATGTAAAGGTCAAAATGGGATCTTAGAAAAGTTTGTTATCTCAGTTAATTTGTATGTAGAGCGGTTCGTAAGTCAATATACCACTATATTCAATATCAGAATCCTAAATTCTACATTTCCATGTAATATTCCCACAGAAAGTGGTGGATGCAAATATCCCCAGCAGTCAGTCTCTACATTGTGGAGATGACACTTAGCATTAAAAAAAAGCTACTTGCTCAACTAAATGCATGTCACTGAAACATTTACTCCTAACTAGCAAGCCACCGGTTTGTCATTTCACATCATTTTGTTCAAGTGCACTGTATAGGAGGAGCTTGTAGTGACATCCTTCCATGTGCGGCAAACGCTGGAGTTGGTGTGCTGTTGTCATCAGAATTGATGGGTTGTTGCTAACCTTGTTTGCTGTTCTGGTAGTGGCTACAGTCTGTAGTTTTCATATGCATGTTGATGTAATTGAGAGCTCATTTTAACTCCGACTCAATGTTGTGATCATGTTCAGTCTGACCAAATGTAGTTTTGAAGAGTATTTGTTTGTTGTCTGTCTTGTCTGAATGTAAGAGGGGTCTGGGGGCTGTTTGTGACCCTTTGAAAATAAAGTTTGTTTGTTTGTTTGTCACTGCATGTGTACACAGGAGTGACATGACACATTTGGAGCTCAGTGACTGGTCTCTTGGTGTTTTTTTCTGATTCAGAACATGGTCACCTTTGTTTGTTTAAGATGAAGCGTGAGATGATAGTTTGAAGAAAGACAACACAAACCATAGACTGCACAAATGATTGTCTGGCTTATACTGCTGTATCTCACTCATCCGTTGTCCTGTTGTCCCATTATCTGTCACATAGGGCTCACAGTCTACTCCCCCATTCCTTCCTATTCTGTGCAATCAGTTCATTATCATGGATGGAGTCCAGTCCAGCAGCTTTGGCCTCTCTCATCAGAGTTTGTTTTAGAGTTTCTTGTCAGATGCCTGCTGCAGTAACAATGAATTATGCAGTCTATTGTTTGTATTTTCTTTGTTCAGATTTACAATGGGGTAACATTGCTTTGATATTGATGGCTGGCTTTGATATTGATGACTGGCTTCCAAGTAGATCAAAGGCTTTTCCTGGAAGGCCACTGATTATTGTGTGTGGTAAACCTATCATATGTTTTATGTCTGAGTTTCAATACAGTGAAAGTCCCATTTCTTTGCATTGAGGTACATTTGACTTCTGATGCTTGTCCTATATTTTTATATGCAGCCTAGCCGCCTTTACTTCCCATGTTATTTCTTGGTTGGCTCTACCTTGGAGTCCATGTTGGTTTCAAAACCTGTCTCAGTGGGTTATGAACTTGGGGTTCTAGGTCAACAAGGGAACCTGCTCACCACTTCAACCTGTCCCTTTGTTGGTGTTGGCTTCACTTCAGGTTTTTGACATCTTTGACAGTTAATGTTGCTCTCGGGTGCTTGTGGAGCAGACACTGCATTGATAAGTTTGTTGCCACTGCCAGAAGTGATCTTTGGTGTTCTTACAAGGCAGACACTAGATGTTGGCTGGCTGCTCCGCTAGAATAGCAGCTCAGCCTTTCTCCTGGAGCTCAACATTGATGGCATGTACTAGACTTTGACCTCTGTCGAAATGTACATCTATCTCTTTCAAATCACACTCATTCCCTTGTGCATGTCAGCTGGGACCACAAACACACGAGCACATTCTGTAGACCTGCCCACTCTGCCTACAGTTAGGAAGAGAAACCTGGTCCCAGGAGCAAAGTGTGCAGCCAGCTGGGGCCACAAACACACCAGCACATTCTGTAGACCTGCCCACTCTGCCTACAGTTAGGAAGAGAAACCTGGTCCCAGGAGCAAAGTGTGCAGCCAGCTGTGGGGAAATACAAGGGACCTGCAACTGGCATGCGAGTTCATAAAAGCAACCCAGCCGAGGATCTGACTTGAGCATAGCAAACTGAACTCGAAGAAAAGGAAGATGAGACTCATGTCTTCCATCGTCACTGTGTGACCTTGTAGGTGATCTATCATAGAGTACTTCTTGATACACATACTCTCAATGACACGTAGGTCCTGGAACTCTCACACTACTGTTGTGTTTCTGACTCCACTTGAGGTGTGTCAGCTTGACGATTTTAATGTGAAGCTCCCTTGTAGTTTGACTGTTATTGCTAATTGTTCTCAGAATTTTAATATAGCATCAAAGGACGTTTTTTAAAATCAGAACTGTCCTATTATATAACATAATTGCAGCGGGCGTGGATTTGGGCACCAGTCAGTTGAGTTATACTTGTCTGTACCCCTCTAATACCTGGCAGCTTCAGGGCGGTTGAGGAAATCAGCCAGTAAAAGGACAAAAACAGGTCATGTCCTGGCAAACCACCTGGCAAAAATGTTAGAAAACCATGCTGAAAAATGTGTGGATCCAAATACAAGAGATGGGATATCAGATGTAACCAGGCAGAAACAAAAACAGAGGGCCTTGGGATGTTTCAGGCCATGGAGATTTAAAGGTAGAAGAAAAAGCATTATGTAATTTTTTGGGGGTTTAAATTAAAGTGACTGCTATTGCTGTCGACCAAGCTTGTTACGCAATATTATATACTTTGTTCTGTATATATTTATGTAATAATGCTATTGTTTGGGTAAACTGACTGATCTGCAAATGATGCTTCGTAAATATACAGTTAACATAGGTCAGGTTTGTCGTGATTGTTCATCCTGTCTTGTTTGTTCAACCTGTCTTGTTGATTATACGAGTAATGCCAGCAGCAACTAGCCAACACTGCAACTGTATGTGTAATTGATTTCTTCATTTGTCAATAAATTGTACACCAGTGGCATATCATGATACTCATTCAGTTTGAAGACTGGTTCATGTTATATTTGAACATGCCGGATTGTCATTAATCTTGTGTTGTATGATTGTCTATAAACTAATGTAATACCAGCCCTGGGATAGAGAAAAATGACACAAGAGACAGAATGTATAGTTATCACAATGGCAATTCAAACACTTTTTTTTTCAGTTTTGATAAAACCTGGCATTTAATGAACCTCAAGGACTAGCCCTTCTCAAGGAACCAGACACAAAAGTGATTCAAAATGTGACCACTGTTTTTGGGATACCCAGTA